CTCCTCTTCTCCATTCACGATGTCCGGGCCAGGGAGCGGGTCTGCATGGCGTTCGGAGATTCTGTCTGGGGCGTAGGGGCGGGTGTTTGAGACCGAGACTACCGGGTGAATTCCTCTTTGACGGGCCGTAAGCTGTAGCTTTACTGCTGCTGGGGATACCACCTTGACGATCTGGAAGGGGCCGATCCATCTGTGGTCAAGCTTCTTGGTTGGTCGGTCTGTCGTGTAGTTTTGAGTGTTGAGCCAGACTTTGTCCCCAACTTGGTAGACTGGTGCTGCCTTCCGGTTCCTGTCATAGTACCGTGCCATCTCTTCTGCTGCATGCTCTAGTGCTGCCTTTGCCTCCTCTTGCATCTTCATCATCCGAGAGGCAAAGTCATTAGCCCCTTCGACTTCAGACATGCGGGTCGGTTCGGTCCCCATGCATGGGTGTTGCCTGGAGTCAAGCTCGAAGGGGGTGCGGTGGGTGGAAGAGTGGATGCGGTTGTTATAGGCGAACTCGGCAAGCGGCAGCCAGTCAGCCCAGTCATCTTGCCTGTGGTTGACAAACACCCGGAGGTAGGTTTCTATTTCCTGGTTGACACGCTCCGTCTGGCCATCAGTCTGTGGGTGGTAGGCTGTTGAAGGGGTGAGCTTGATCCCTAAGAGGTCTGCTAGCTCCCTGGAGAAGCGGGAGACAAATGCGCTGCCTTGGTCGCTGAGCACTTCCTCTGGGAGGCCATGATGCCTCCAGATGTGTTCGAGGAAGAGCCAGGCCACGCCTGCTGAGTCTACTGTAGTGACTGTGGGGATTGCGTGAATGCGCTTTGAAAGTCGGTCTACCACTACCAGGATTGCGTTGTACCCCTTGGAGTCTGGGAGTTCTCCAATGGTGTCTACTGAAATCACCTGCCACCTGCGGGTGGGGACCTTGTTCGGGATGAGCTTCCCAACTTTCTGAGATGGGAATGTCTTCACTCTGTTGCAGGTGTCACACCCTGAGACGTACTGTGCAACATACTGTGCCATCCGGGGCCACCAGTAGTTTCGGGAGACAAGCTCCACAGTCTTCCACCGCCCAGGGTGGCCTGTTGCCACCGAGTCATGGTGGAGTTGTACCAGGCCATGGCGGAGCTGTGGGTCTTTCGGGACATACACCCGGCCCCGGTGGAGGATCAGTTCCCCTTCCTTCTCCCATTCATCCGAGTGTAGGGTCCCCCTTTCCAGCTCTCTCATTGCCTTTACCACTCCCTCGTCATGCTCCTTCCCCCTGCGTATCCTGTCCAGGATGTCTGCCTCTTCTCTTCTCCCTCCACTGTGACCCCCTCCATAGCTCTGACTTCAAACCAGCCCGGGTGTAGGAGGGTCATGTCCGTGTTGTCGTCCTTCCCTTTCGGGTGGTCCGGCCGACGTGAGAGGGCATCGGGCTTCCCCATGAGTTTCCCTGGTTTATGGACTAGCAGGAAGTGGAAGCGGGAGAGGTAGAGGGACCACCGTGCCTGATGCCGGTTTAGCCTCTGGGCTGAGCGGAAGTAGGAGAGGTTTCTGTGGTCGGTGTATATGTTGAACCTCTCAGGGGTGCCTTCAAGGAAATGGCGCCACTCTTCCAGGGCTCGGACTATGGCAAGCATCTCCTTGTCATAGATTTCATAGTTCCTCTCTGCATCTGAGAAGCCCTTTGACATGAACGCCACCGGGTGGAATTCCCCATCTGTCTGGAGCTGGGAGAGTACCGCCCCTGTTGCGAAGTTGGAGGCATCACACTCCAGTCGGAACTGACCTGAGTCCGATGGGAAGGTGAGGACCGGTGCTGAGGTGACAGCCTCCTTCAGCCCGTCAAATGCTTCCTGTTCCTTTCTCCCCCAGGTCCACTGCTTCGACTTCCGGGTGAGTGTGTGAAGGGGCTGGGCCTTCTCGGAGAAGTCCTGGATGAAGCGGCGGTAGAAGTTGACGAACCCCAGGAAAGACTGGACCTCTTTGACCTTCATGGGTGCTGGCCAGTCAGTCACTCCCTGAACCTTCACTGGGTCCATGGCAACGTGGTTCTCCGAGATGACAAGGCCCAGGTAGTTGATCTTCCACTGCTCAAACTTGCATTTCTCCGGTTTGAGGAACAGCTTCTGGCCCCTCAGTGTGGATAGGACCTCCCGGACGACCTTCCGGTGCTCCTCCAGGGTGGGTGTGAACACCAGGATGTTGTCCATGTAGCAGATGACAACCCCTCGGTCTATGAAATCCCTGAGGATGTCATTCATCATGGTCTGGAAGGTGGCCGGGGAGTTGCACAGTCCGAAGAACATCACCATTGGCTCAAACAACCCTCGGTTGGTTGCAAAGGCCGCCTTCCACTCATCTCCCTCCTTGATGCGGACATTGTTGAACCCCCACCGGAGGTCGAGGGCTGAGAACCACTTGGCATCCTGGAGGCGGGTGAGGATGTCGGAAACTAGGGGGAGGGGGTAGGAGTTCTTGACAGTGATCTCATTCAGCTTTCGATAGTCCTGGACCAGCCTTAAGGAGCTGTCCTTCTTCTTCACGAAGAACACTGGGGCCCCCATGGGGGATTTGGATGGGCGGATCCGCCCATTTGCCAAGTTCTCCCTGAGGAAGTCATCGAGCTCCCCTTGTTCTGCAGGGGACAGTGGGAAGGTCTTTCCTCGTGGCAGCTTAGCCTCAGGGATGAGGTCAATGGCATGGTCCCAAGGTTTCCGGAGTGGTAGTTGATCAAAGGCCTCTTTTGAGAAGACGTCCCTGAAGTCTCGGTAGCACTCGGGCACCATCTCCTCGAGAGGCTTTTCCCCTGGGGTGGGGTCCTGCGCTCTTTGGGCCATCCGCTGCGATGGGGTGGTGGTCGCCCTCAGGTCGTGTCCCCATCCTGGGGGAATCACGGCTGCGTACAGTCCATCCCCGGGTTCTACTGTGAGGTCAGGCTCCTTCGGAGCTATTGGCGCCACCCTGAGCCTTTGGCAGGCAGGTGGGCAGCGGGACATGATGACCTTTTGTCAGGCCCAGTCCACTTCCGGGTTGTGGTGTGTCAACCATGAGTGACCAATAATGACTGACTGGCGCCCCAAGTTGGTCACTGCAAAGCGAGCTCGCTCCGTGTGTTGACCAAACGTAAGGAGTGTGTCCACCTCCTCTGTGATGGATCCATTCTCATTTGGGGTGCCATCCACATTGTGGACTGGGATTGGTTGGGGTAGGGGGGTAGTCTCCAGGCCATGCTTCTGGACAAATTCACGACTGACAAACATCCCTGTGGCCCCTGAGTCTAGGAGGGCGGAGGTGGTCACTGAGGCGAGAGAGGTGGTTGCAGTCAGCTTCACCAGAAGGTTGAGGGAGCGAGGAGGGCGTTTGGATAGTACGTAGATCGTGGGTGGGGGAACAGCAACCTCAGCCGAGGCGCATTGTGGGTTCTCTCTGCGGGGTTTTGTGGGTGTGGCTCTTTTTTTCTTAGCGATCACTCAGTGTAATTTAGGTTGCGCTGTAGTCCTGGAATTGCCATGGTATCTACATGCAGGTACAGTGACGCTGGGGGATGACCGGGGCACATCCCTCACCGGTCGTCCTCCTGAAAATCCTCAGCAGGTCTCTCCTCCCCCGCTTCCTCCTCTGCATGGTCCAGCTCCTGGGTGAGGGGGCGGTCCTTTAGCAGGTCTGCGATTGCCCGGAGGTCTTCCGGGGCCAGGCGGGTCATCTCCATAGGGGCCTCCCCTTGTAATGTGGCCCGGGCCTGATAGGGTCTCGGCCTCAGGCAGTCTCGGGCTATGTGCCCTAGCCGATTGCAGTTATAGCAGGGTCCAGTGCGCCTCTGCTCGGTCCTGGGGGGGCGGATGCGGTCCAGGTCCATGGGTTGGGGGCCGACTTTCGGGGCTGGGGCTGAGGGTGTGGATGCAGCGGGAGGGGGAACGGGCCCGGGAGGAGGTTGGGAGTGAAATGGGGATGGCTTGACAGCCAGGGGGCGGGCTTGAGCTTGGGTGGCTTGGAATCGTCGCCACTGATTGTCGAGGAGGGAGGCTTCACGCTTCCATTCTGCCCATGTCGTGGGCATGGGCCGGAGGCGATAGATGTTTTCGCGAAGGCGTGGGTGAAGGGCGTGCTCAAATCGGTCCACAAGAGCAACATCTCCCATTCGTGACACTGGGCCGTGCAGCTCAAACTGCTGGATCAGTTTGTCTACTGACTCATTCCCTTGTCGGAGTGAGGCAAGCTTTTGACGGGCTGTGGCTTGTCGGTTTGGGTCTGCAAACATAGAATCGAGTTCCGCCGCAAAGTCATCAAAGGAAATGGCTGGGGCTCCTGGGGCAAGGAGGGTGTTGATGCGTTGGGTGGCCCATGGTCCGGCAGTCCCTCCTTTCATGTATGACAGGACAAACAGGACTTGGCTGTGTTCGTCCGGGAACTCGGCATGGCGCATGCTCATGTAGAGTCCACACTCTGCCTTGAAGCGGTCTAGGTCATCTTGTGACCCAGAGAAGGGGGTAGGGGTGGCTACTTTGGGTGGCTTATGAGCCGGAGTGGGTGTAGGGGCCGGGGCTGGGGCCGTGGGTCTGGTCTGGGTGGCCAGTTGGGCCTGGAGATCTTGGAGCTGGCGGGTCAGCTCCGCTATCTGATCTTCCAGCAACATCGGGGGGGATAGAAGTAGGTTGAACCCTTCTTCTGCTGTCAGGGCTCAGTCCTCGATCAGGGACAGCCCGACCTCAGGCCTAGGTGTGTGCGGTGTTCCGGGTGGTTGGGCGCTAGACCCTGTCCTCAGCTCCTCAAACTCACTGAAGGGACTAAGCAGGGATTGAGTTGTCATGTATTACAGAGGGTAACTACAACTTGCCTAAGCAGGGATTGAGTTGAGAAGAAGGGTAAGTTTCCCTATTCCCCGCTTGGCTACTATAAAAAGGAAGTGTACTGTACAGTTCATAACGTGACTCCGGGTAGAAGCCGAGCATGTTCCCGCGACTCGGAAAAGGTGTCACATGGGTTAAGGCGAGTTGCTCGCCTTGACCCACGTGATTTTTCCCACGGGCTCACATGCGGGCTGAAGTTGTGAGAGGTATGTAGGGATGGGGAGGTCTGGGAAGTGGGGGAAGTCTGGGAAGTGGGGGAAGTCTGGGAAGGTGGTTCTGGGGTGTGGTTGGGTGCCCTGACAGCGGGGTCAGGGGCCGATCCCTGACAATATGATGATTGTCAAAATACACCAGAAGCTGAGCATTATCCTCAGAATTGCCTTCTGCTACTGCTTCACCTTTTTCCGACAAGGAACTAAGTACACCATCCAAATTGGCCACAAGTTCTTGACCATCCACTGTAGAGTTGCTTGTAGTCAGCACATTATACTTCGGTAATTCACGCCAGATTGCATTTAGATCATGCCACCAGGGAAAATCCTCCAAAATGGCATCTATAAACATATAAGACACCTGCAGAAATCATTCCTGGAACCATAATTCACCAATTTGGTTAGTAATTTCTGAGCCAACAGTTATTTCATTTTTGTCAAGACCAATGCCTGTTTGACTGAGAGTTTTTGCATGCTTTTTATACTCCTTATGAAGACTGGGAGAGTGAGAACAGGGATTTGAATGAGGTTTTGTTTGACATACTGGTCAATGCGTGAATTGACTGCTTGTGCATACTTGTTCTTGTGAGCCAGGAAAAAGGGGTGTTCTAGTTCATTTTCCACATCCCAGATTGCAACGGCAATCTGCTCATGGTAAAACTTTTTAGAGCAATAACCAGATACCTTAAGATAGTAGTGGATTGTCAGCAGAGGTGGAAGCAAGGATAAAATTTTACACACCTTTGGCCTATCTTCAGATGCAGTCACTTTGGTAGAATCCCCAAAAAGTTTCAAGTGGATGTTGGTGAGAAATGTAACTAGATGGTCAGTCCAGTGTGGATTGCTGAGCCAAAGTACACGTTGGGAGGACTCATTCTCGATTTTGGGAGTGCTGGTAGTAGGCTCAGCAGTAGCAGGTTCTAAGCCAGGGACTTTCTTTTTCATGCTTTGAATGAGGTAGATCAGCTGAAGAGTCAGCAACATCAGATTTGCACTTTGCAGTCCAAGCCATGAAGGAAACTGTGCAGTTCATGTTCTCCCACACTCTCACACTCTCTCACATGATTCGGTGGATGGAGTTAAGAAAGTTCTAAAGACCGAGTTATGTTTGAGTTGGACCACCTGAGGCTCAACTTCAAAACTCGGCACAACTCGTTGTTTTGTTTAGTTTTGTTTAGTTGCATCTAGTTGGGCCTTCGTGAACCCCCCTATTGACTTGGTCTGCCACTATGTTGCTGGGGGTTTGAGATATTTGACCCAACAGAAGGCAGGGGAGATGGAGAGCAGAGAGTGGGAGGATTGAGATGGTGTTCTAGTATATGGTGAACTTGAGTGAGAATGATGACATCCATCACTAAGTGGAGCAAGGAGAAAGCTATCCTTTTCTGAGCTAGTATGTCCCCAGCATGCAAGACAGGCATGGTAGAGTGCATCGGACTGTGCTTAAGTCTTTATTCCCACCTGATGTATTGAGGTTTGTGAGAAAGTGTTACAGAGCGCATAATTGTCCAGAAGCGGAGAAGGGACTCAGTAAGGAGGGACCTTGGGCTCAGCGACTCAAGTGGAGCGCTGTGCTGCTGGTTTGTTGTCTAAGGTGGTCCTTAATTTCAGGTTAGCAAGGGGGAGTCTCTTGGGGGGACAATCCAGTTGGTTCTGGTTCTCTAGTCGTCGTCATCGTCGTCGATTTCAGACTAGGGGTACAGGAAACTATGTACAGAGTGTATATATAATAATACAGGAGTGGAGTCAGAGGGCAAGAACCCAAAGGGAACAAAGGGAACTGGAAGGAGACAAAAGGGGACTGGATGAGGGAACAACCCCAAGGGTCAAGGGTTGGAACTCTATGGTGCTTCCCAAAAGGGCAAGGCCAAGAGGGGAAGGAGTGGAGGGGGTTGTGAAGAATGACAGCTGACTAATATGGAAAGGAAGCAGCCATCTAAATAAGGAAGAAGCAACAAGAGGATTAAATGACACCATACAGTAGAGACTGCAGGGTCCAGAGTAAGTTCTGGAGGTCCAGAGTCAGAAGTCAAAGTCCAGAATATTGGCTAGACATAATAAATGAAATGCAATAAAGAATACAAGGAGATAAGATGGAGGAGGAGGTCAAAGTCTGGGGGCAGAGATGTGACCGGAGTTCCGGAGGTGGAGGTGCGATGGGGTTCCGGTACAGGAGTCCAGAGCCAGAGGTGTGGAGCATCACAAGCTCTGGTCTGGAAGGTACAAGGTTGGTGTTAGAACTGGGCGAGGGTGGTGTTGTGGGGACAACTCCGTGTACCGCAAAAAGTCGGATTCTGCGGAATTTGACCACCAACATATACCACATACCCTCTGACGCTCCCGATGTTCATTCTATCACTATCCAACACTCCACAAACTCATTCCTTATTTTTCCCTATTTTCCCCATCATTCCCGACAACCCAAGCAAAATTCCCACGCCCAACCACGCCGCCAATTTCACCCCCTCTCCAGATCTCCATACCTACACATACAACCCAGCCATTTTTCCACCCGATAGTGATGCTCTACCTTCCTTCTTCACCCCCGGAGCATTTCCCAGAATGGCAATCCCATCCCTGGATGGTTCAGCACAGAGTAGAGTCTCACGTGGTCTTGACAGCACCTGTCAATGGCCACATCTCAACAACTACTGCACCAAATGGGACGAATAGGGGCTTGTTGGAAAGCTGGAGACGAGGAGGTTGCTGACGGGAGGATAGGCGGGCGCTGTGGCGAAGCGTTGCGGAGTTAACTTTTACATTTCCCATTTCGGACCCGTTATGATATATCCCCCATTCATTCATATTTCTTTTATTGTTTCTTTGTTCCCAATTGGATATTCATCATTTACGGTTGCCTAACGGCCCGTTTACATTCCCCAGTCCATTCATTCCATTTCAAACATATATAAACTAGATAACAGCTTGTACATAACAAGTTAGTATTGAATAGACCTGTGAAAGAGAAAGCAGAAGTTGCATCCAAGTGGCAAAGACGCCATCCACGACTCTAACGCCTCCCCTGAGTTACTTGCTTACATCTGAGACCCCTTTCCTCATAACCCTCGGCCTTGACGTCCAAGAGAGACGTAGGTGAGTGTTGAGTTGAGGCTCTAACAGACCCGCTAGCACCCCAGGACCCAAAGAACCGAACCTCCATCACACATGCATTCACTACCACCCTCCCCCCTTTCTCTGTCTCGAGTCTAGGCGATAGACCCGTTACAGCGGACGATTCCGGAGGGGAACCGGAGACTTAGCAAGGAGGGACCTTGGCCTCAGCAACTCAAGTGGAGCACTGTGCCATTGCTGTTTGTCCATTTGGTCCTTAATTTCAGAGGCAGTGAGCAGGAAGTCTCTAGGGGGCATTTCAGGTCGATTTTAGACTAAGGGCCTAAAATGAGTATGCACAAGCGCCAGTATATAATGGAGGGGGCAAAAGCATGAGGAAAACAAGGAGGGTCCGAATCGGAACAAAGGCATCCAAACGGGACAAAGGGAAGATGAAAGCGGAGCGGTACTGAAGGTCATAGGTCAGAACCTGTGGTACATCCGAAAGGAGATAGGGAGGGCGAAGCCCAGAGGGGCAGGAGGATGAGGTGAAGTGGGATGATGACCAGCTGGCTAGAATGGGAAGAAGCAGCAGTCCAAATAAGGATGAGGGGAAAACGCGAAAGATACATTACAAGTGGCGAAAGTGCTGAGTATGATCCGTGGAGCTTGGAGGTTATGGAGGTTATGGAGCTTATGGAGGCAGGGTTGGAAGTCCGAGGAATATTGGCAATGGTGTTTATGTAGTATGAGGTCACCAATGCAATGGACTTAAGCCGAGGTGGAGTCAAAGTCCGAGGTCGGAACTATGATGGAATCTCGGAGTGAAGGTATGAGCGGTATCCAAATACAGGGTAAGGGACAGTGGCGGAAGGTCGTAACTTGGCAGAGGGTTGGCGGAAGAGGGTCAGAGGAAGGAGAGAGAAGAGAGGAAAGGGGAGAGGAGTGGAGGAGATCAGGTCCGAAAGTGAGTATCGGAGCGGATGGGAGAAGGGTAGGAGAGTGACAGAAGAGTGGAGGAGTCGTGAGGGGTAAGAGGAGGAGTAAGAGGAGGGTGGCGAGAGGAGTGATGTTCGGTCCAAGGTGAGTATTGGAGCGGATGGAGATAGGGTAGGAGAAGGATGGAAGGGTGGAGGTGGCATGAGGGGTAAGAGGAGGAGTGGTGTCAGGAGTGGTGTCAGGTCCGAAGGTGAATATCGGAACGGACGGCGGTAGGGTAGGACTCTGGAGGTGGTGAAGATGGGGGTCCGGGAGTCGGATCGGGATCAGGTATGTATGGATATGACAGTTGGGATCGGACCCAGAGTAAACTGGAGTCGGACTGGAGGTAGTGTTGGACATTGTGTTGGAGCCAGAGGTAGAGTGGGCTCTCAACAACCAACAGGGGGAGGAGGTGGTGGAGAATGTGGAGTTCTGGAGGAGGAGATGGAGGTCCAGAATCAGGAGTGGAGGTCTGGAGTTGTATGGATATGACAGAAAGCAGACCAATATAAGTGTCAGAGACTGGATGTGGGACAAAGGAGATGTTGTAACAGGGATTTGCTGGTGTACCATAAACAAGCCAAATCCCATGATTCTACCACCCTTAGCCAATGTTCTCTCCTGCATATTTCTTATTTTTCCTGATTTTTCTGATTCCATTTCTAGTCACTAGAGCCCGATGTTTCCCTGTCTTATTGTTCTTTCCTTATTTGTCATTTTCGGATTCTTCCGTGATACCGTGACCAGCTGTATAGTTAGTGAGGAGTAGCAGAATCCACTCCCAGTTAACAAACCTGTGCATGCAACCACTCCAACCCTCCCCCTCTCTTCTGTCTCGAGTCTAGTGGTGATAGACCCGTTACAACATCCCTGTGGCAGAGGGCTTCGGCCTCAGCGACTTAGACCAGGAGCGCTGTGCCTAGTTACACATCTGTGCCCTAACTTACTTACTGGCAAAGAGATCTAGAAGAGGGAAACTCTATTCGATTTTATCACTAGGGTGTAACCTATCTACAAGTTATGTATATATAGTTACATAGGGGGCAGGCCCGTGAATGGTGGGACCAAGCAGAGCGGAGCTAACAGAGTTACATGTTAGCCAACTGAATATTACCAACGAGTTGGGTTATGGGGCTAGCAGAGTGGCGGGCTATGACCCAGAAATGGAAAGGGGGGATCGGCCCGAAGGTAGGCTTGCAGGGCAAGCAAGTGAATTGCCCAGCAGAGGCAGGGGCATGCTAGCAGATGTTGGAGCTGTCTGGAGGCCTTCAGGACTCCATACTTAGGGAGGCATAGGTAATATATTGGATTGAGGGGTGGTGACCATCAAGGGAGTCAGAGGTGATTGCAGAATATGGAGGCTCTGAGGTTAGTGACAAAGGAGCAGAGGTAATCCAGAAGGACTGGAGGTAGTGGAGGATGATGGCCATGGATGGATATGACAATAAGCTAAATAGGGAAGCTGATACTTGTATCAGTGCTAAATACACAGAAACACAAGTCAAGATCAAGTGTCAAGGGACAAGGCAGTGTTTGCCCCGATGCATCAGGGTGAAATTACAAATAAACCATAACAAAAATTTCCATTTGTACTTTCTCCCTCCAGGATTGTCTTGAGAACTTATAAATTGGGGACATGGTGCATATGGTGTATTTCCACAAAAGGGACAGAGGAATTTCCATGTAACTTCCTACAAATGAAGATATGGGTGAAATAGATTCATTTTCTCAATCACAACAAAGCTTTTTTTGATTTCCTCAAAAATTCCTCTGTCCAATCTTTAGTTTAGGTCATTCTGATCAATGTTTACTAATGAAGTTCCTCCTCATTTGTTGTGTGTGGTGAGAAAGTACATGAGATATTTATGGCACACTTGACCACCACACTGAGCTTACATAACTAGAGTGCTTGC